CCGGTTTCCAAATGGATTCCCAGTCTCCGTGGTAACAGACCCTTCTCGTTTGCTTGTGACGTCACAGCCACCCCCCGCGGGGTCGAGCAGAGCACATTGAAAGGGCTTGTTGAGTCCTAGCTGCGCCCGCTCCTCCAGGCCTCCGGGGAAGGGTGAACTGGTAGGTACCCGTTCACCCTCTCTGGGCCTCAGTTTCCCCTTTTGTGACATGATCCTTGGGGCTCCTCCTGTGCTAGTTCTGGGAGCCCGGGCAAGGTATGCACGTCCCGTGCCTCAGTTTGCCCATCTGAAATGAGGATGGAGATAGGAGCTGACTCGGACCCCTGTTAGGAAGTTTAAGGAGCCTTAGGACAGACAGGGCCCAGTACCCAGCGACCACTCCGATGCCGGCGTCTGTATTTATTTATTTTTATTATTTTTAAAAAATATATTGTTATTGATTTCAGAGAAGAAGGGAGAGGAAGAGAGAGATAGAAACATCAATGATGATTGAGAATCATTGATCGGCTGCCTCCCGCAGGCCCCCTACTGGGGATCGAGCCAGCAACCTGTGCCTGTGCCCTTGGCCGGAATCAAACCTGGGACCCTTCAGTTCTTGGACCGACGCTCTGCCCACTGAGCCAAATCGCTCTGCCCACTGAGCCAAATTGGCCAGGACCCAGCCTCTGTATTTATGTTTGGGGATTGGGACACGTGCCTCTCCCGCGTCCTGGGTTCGGTGTGTGGAGCTGCCTGATCTGGTCCGTAGTGATGATGTTTTGTTGTTGTTGTTGTTGTTTTTTCAGTTCTCTTTCAGGCTTTCTCTAGAGCAGTGGTTCTCAACCTTCTGGCCCTTTAAATACAGTTCCTCGTGTTGTGACCCAACCATAAAATTATTTTCGTTGCTACTTCATAACTGTCATGTTGCTACTGTTATGAATCGTAATGTAAATATCTGATATGCAGGATGGTCTTAGGCAACCCCTGTGAAAGGGTCGTTGGACCGCCAAAGGGGTCGCGACCCACAGGTTGAGAACCGCTGCTCAATGGAGTAAGTGTATGGGGGAACAGCTAACGTTTACCAGCCTCTTTAAGAGTCTGGGGCTGATCAGGGAGGCTGTAACGTTGGTTAATGCTTTTCACTCCTCGATGCTAAAGAGGGGGGGTTCTTTGCTCGTCCCCTTCTTAAGGCTTCATTCAGTCTCGAACCCCTCCCCACAAACTAACCGTGGGGTCACGACTT